AAAAACCGTCGGTTTAGTAGTAGTAGTAGTATACTGTATAGTCCCTTCCCTAATGCTACTTGCTAGTTTTAGTTTATATCAGCTACATATTTCGACTAGTTACAAAGTGGCAAGATTATAAAACGAAAACACAAATTATAACTAACTGTAATTAATTTATCTATATATACAGGGTGACTGGTGAATTACTATCAATATTTAAGGAGAATACTCGGTACATGATTCCAGGTACAGTGTTCCGAGTGTGGACGCGTGCGGCGGCGTGCTGATACAACAACACGCTGCCGCGCGCGAGTGTGTGTGTGTGTGTGTATACCTAATCTGTAGGGTGTTCATACGATGCGTAATTAATTAGATAACTTTTGGTTAACTTTACTTAGAAGTTTATTAATATTTATGTTATATTAATTTTTATTTTGTCATATATGATCGTCAAATATCACGTCCTCAAATATCGATAGTAATTCACCAGTCACCCTGTATACGAAATAAATTTGTCTTGTCTGTGGTTATTACATTGTATAACTGTTGTTAAAACAAATATAAAAAGGTGCGTAAACATTACACATATAACGGGTGTCCCAACTAGAACGCAATTTTTAACTTTGGCGCCATTTTAAGCGTGATTGTTTGACATTTGAACAATTGTTATTATTTGCTTGTAGAAGGTACAAGGTTTGTAAAAATGGAGCGCTACACGAATGAACAACGCATTCTCATTGTAAAATTGTTTTACCAAAATGGTGAAAGTTTTGCGGCTACAGTTCGCAAATTACGATCATTTTGGAGTCACTCAAAAAGAGTCAACTGTAAAGAGATTAATGAATAAATTTGCCGAAACTTGGTCTGTTAGTGATGTAAAGACAACAACTACGCAAACAGTCAATGGTGTTCGATATCGTGAAATGATTACCAGTTTTTTCTTGCCTAGAATCGAAGAAATGAATAAGGACTGCATGTGGTTTCAACAAGTCGGCGTCATACAGCCAGAGAAACAATTCAATTGCTGCATCAGTCATTTCCCGGTCGTGTTATTTCCCGTTTTGGAGACCAGAATAGGCCGCCGAGATCGTGCGATTTAACACCTTTAGATTATTTTCTTTGGGGTTTTTTGAAGTCGATGGTTTACGCGTATAAGCCGACGACGACTCAAGCCTTAAAAGAGGAAATTGGACGCTGTATTTATGAAATACCGCAGTATTTATGCAAAACGGTCCTAGAAAATTTCATTCAAAGTTCGCGCGTGTGCCTGCAAAGCCGCGGCGGCCATCTGCACGATATCTTGTTCCATACATAACCTCATTCTATCTACTTTACGATATAATAAAGTTTCACGATATATTTTTTTAATATCTGTGTTTTATTTAAAATTTAAAAATTGCGTTCTAGTTGGGACACCCTTTACTATACATCACATTATACTAGAGTATGGACTATATAGAGCTTAACTAAATATTACAAAATGTTGCGCTCACGGTTGCTGAAAAGTAGCCGAAACATCGGGAGTATGTAGTTTTTTACAAAAATAAAATCGAGTGGTATAATCTGAAAAATATTAGTTTCATTTACAAAATGTTGTAGCTTTGCATTATGAATATATATAATATATATAAAGCTTTGTATACACTATACCACAAGCAGGTTCACAGTAAATTACTCGCCTGCGGGCTTCATTAAGATGGCCAGTAAATTACTCTTACTCCATTACGGATCCTATTGCGTGTTACTCGGTTTTCGTTCATGATTTACTATAGCCGGTATGACATACGAGAATATGGTCCACTCGAATGGATGTATAAACAGTGCACGACGAGAAGGTTTTGAATCGTATTTTTAGCAAACGTTTAAAATATCTGTAAGGTTGCTTTTCGTTAAGGTTAAAATATAGGTATATAATAATCTCATGCTTGATACTACTTATACACAAGAGTCGAATTTGACATGGAAATTGTCTTTTATTGTTTAAAATAATAACAATACGATTCCTTTTTGTTTCGCCTATAAACTGAGATTAAGCTTTCTATGTTAGAAATTTAACCTCAATCAAAAATTCTTCATCGAAACCGTAACAAAACAATGTTATAAAGTTTCACTATTTACAAATTAAGTTGTTGGACAACCGCTAAACAAATATTAATTAAAAATATATATTTCAAAAACGCTTACAAATTACAATTTTTAGCATTGATTCGCCAACGAAATCGCATTTACACTTGAAACTAAGGTTTAAATAAAAAATCTGTTAATGTTTGATACGAGTTTGTACAACTTTATTTAAAATAAAATTATTTTTGAATGACTTATTCATTAAAACACATCAATAAACGTCCTATCTTGAAGCGTTATACAGCTTAGGTTACTTACAAACGTACTAACCGCCATCATAACTATTATTTATAAATATTAAATAGAAATATTATGAATATCAATTACTTCTTACGATGATCTTTATATGTAGTATAGTTAAATTACATTTATTTAGATGAGTATAATTATTTAAATCTTCATAATTTTAATAGATTCAGTAACAGATTTATATAATGTGAAAACGTCATAATATGACATTAATTTCCATACATTCTGAAATTATTGTTGTATAAGTCACTTTATATGTTTTCTATTTGTGTTCAATTTGACGCCATCTTACGTATAGAATATTTTACTATTATTTTTATCTTCAAACATTTTAACAAATGTCTTATAGGATGTGGTCGGATAGACGAAACCGAGATATCTAATATGTAATAACAACGTTGTACTTTAGAGTTGTTCTAAGCTTTAATGTGCTGAAACTATCAGTTAACAGTATGACAGTGGCGTGCACAGAGATTTGGAATAGGGAAAGCAGAATATGTATGAAAAGGAAATTACCGATTTTCATAATTTCCTTTCTAAAATATTGATAATAATGAAATCTTTTGCAAGTATTCATTTAAATGAAACTAATATTTTCGAATTACTACGAGTAATTTATTATTTTTACCGGCAGACGCGATGTTTGCCGTGATCACGGCTGCTGCAAAGTAATCGAAACGTCGGGAGTATGTATGTATGTAGTTTTTAAACATAATAAAATACGCGAAGTAATCAGAAAATATTAGTTTCATTTAAACATTGCTAATATTCACGCATAATGTTACAGAAGTTCGATCAGAACGAACATCTATATAGGTACTTATTTATGCATCTTTCAACTACTGTTGAGCCACGAAAGTACTTTAAAACAATTACGATCTGTTCATCACGGCTTTTTAAAAGTTTTTTTAAATATCCAGAACATCCAGAGTAGATTCAAACATTCTTATTATTATCATTTGAAAACAACAAACAAGGCAAAAATTGTAACTTATTTGTATGTACACAAACTGCTAACTTATTAAAACTATCATAATACTTTTTATTAAAACGAATATGGAACGTTACCTTTCGTTTTGTTCAATCTCAACTGGTCACACACCTTGACTTTGCACTTATTTTAATTTTATTATCAAACGACAATATTAAACATCTCGTATTTAATCGCGATAAAAATACATCACAAGCACAGATCTCACAGCTATAATTTTCCATTATTCGTTAATAAATTAATCCACTATTTACTAATCCACTAATTAAAACTTCTTCACTGACGCTTAGAAAGACAAATGACAATATTCAATAATAAAAAAATGGCGAAAAAAATATGTAAACAGTTTACCGACCAATCAGAGAGTCCCGTTTCGTTTGACAATTAACGGACTTTCTACGACATTTTAAACTATTGTTTATCAAAATAATCAGTGCTTATCGTACACTATGCATGGCTCTGGCTGCATAGCGGCGCTAGCAGTTGGCAGCGGCCGATCGAAAATGTTTTGTTTTTACATTGGTAGATGGCACTTATAATATAGCAAATCGTGAATCAAATATCATATTGTCATTTAATATGATATTTGATTTAAACATATGTATTTCGTAATGTATGGTTAAAAGAATGTAAGTAATAATTAAACAATATAGGTTTAGTTGTTATATGGGTAGGTTATGCAGTGCTTATTTGCATCTGTGGTGTGCACGCCACTGCAGTATGATTAGAAGAAACATTAAACTTGGGTAACAATACAATTTTCAAAATTCTACGGTAAAATTTAAAGTAATAAATTATTGTATTTCATAATTAGGTACGAGGGTCAAACTGAAAGTTCTTAGAACTGGCCACTTATAAACAATAGGTATAATAAAAAAATAATTCTAAAATTTGAAAATAGAACTCTTTGCCAATATTACTGAGTATATATTTCATATATTTGTCATTTGTTTTACGATTTGGCGGCAAATTGAAAATTGTCTGTGTCACGTCAACATGAATTCAACACGAGAAAATGATTTTTTATGACTTTAGATGTCATTTAAGTCAACAACTGTTTACAACTGGTTTAATGAGTTTAAACTTTGAATTACTGGGTCACCCGCTGTATAGCCCCGACCTCGCGCCTTGTGATTTTTATTTATCTCCAAAAATTAAAGAAAAACTTAAAGGAAAGCGGTGTATGAATGCTGAGGAAGCGGTGGCTGCGTATCGCGATGCAATTGAAGAGACCCCTAAGGACGAGTGGGCAAAGTGCTTTTCCCAGTGGTTCCATCGCATGCAGCGGTGTATTGTCGTGAATGGACAATATTTTGAAAAGATATAATGAAACTAATAACTGGCTAATGTAATCAGTTTTTGATCTTCTAAGAACTTTCAGTTTGACCCTCGTATATATGTAATCGATATTTTAGAAGAATAAATCATTTTAATTTAATATACATATATAACGCAACTGTCAAATAAAAAACAATCTTGTCTGTAATGTCAAATCTTTGTCAATAATATAAAGGTAAAAAATTCCACTCTACAATCTCCTTCGTGTTTCCTCAACACAGTACTCAAGATTATAATTGTTATTTATTCCACTAATCCAGAGGAAATGGAGCCATAATCAAAAAAAGGGTATAATAAAACAGCCATATGTATATAATTATTGTAATTCACCACAGTTACTTATGATCACTTTAGCCGAGGGAGCGCCGGTCTTGCTTCCATATCGCTCCATCTTCTTCAGTACATCGAGTCCAGATAATACGTGACCGAACACTACATGCTTCCCGTCCAACCAATCGGTCCTACAAATACAAAATAAATATTATTGAGGTATTTTTTTAAATGGCAACACTTAATAAGTTTTTAAAATCTCTCATTATTACAACAACTAGAATTAAAAATACTTTAGGCACTATAAGAATATTAAAAACAATATGTCTCATTGTTTATTTTACAATTGAAAATATGATATCCATCTTAAGTCTATAATAATTTGATTCAACACAATTTAAAACAAGAAAATATGTTCAATGCATGACAATTTGGAATTGCAATTCACATTTTTATTTTATGCACAAAATTACTTAGTGCTCTAACTTTATGTACATTATCAGAGCCTTTTGAGATATTTTCTAGCCCCATGTTTGTTAAGCCAACATATAACGGCATGAATTAATTTATAAATCTTCATACACTAAGTATAAATTAGATATCCCTTTATTATATTTGGTAGTACATAAGATACTCAACATACAAATCTGTAATCATATACTTTAAATAAATGTATATTATCAATTGACTGTAACCAGTATAAGATAGGATAAACTTGGTAATTATAAGATCTGTTACGTTTTTTATTTATATTTTTGGAGTTTACCTATTAAAGCCATAAATCTCCGCGTTTTGAAGTGCGACAGAATGATTAACATATTAGTTAGTTGTCAAATCTTATTTAAAAAAAAAGGATTTGTATCAACAACTACTAATAAATTTAAAATTAATCAAAAAAACATTGTCGTGCGGACAAAATTGTGAATCTAAACCATTCCCAGATCCCCTTGAACACATACAAAAAATTTCATAAAAAACGGTCCAGTTGTTTAAGAGAAGTTCAGTGACATACACACTCACAGAAGAATTATATATATAAAAAGATTATATCTCACTTGGCAGTACAAAGGAAGAACTGTGACCCGTTGGTATTAGGTCCAGAGTTTGCCATACTAAGTATACCGGGTCCCGTGTGTTTTAATGTGAAGTTCTCGTCTTCAAATTTCCTTCCATATATTGATTTGCCGCCTGTACCATTGTTGTTTGTAAAATCACCACCTTGACACATCTGTCTTCGATAAGGATTATAGTTAAGAACAGTTTAGATATCACACAGTAAATTATGATTTTATTTATATATAACTATGTACATATTGATATGAAGATATGATTTAAATTTGAAAAGGATGCTTGAATTTTCTGTTAATTAAAATAATTGTAGAGCATGAGAATTGAAAGAGTGCAAGTCCATGATTTCTCTGTACTTTAAGTAATGATATTGAAAATATAAAATTTACTGTTATAACAATTATAATCATAGAAAAAATAATAAAATGTTAATAATTGTATCAAAACAATAGTAACTTTGAGTGCTTAATAGTATTATTCCTCTAAATTAAATAAATTGAACTAATGATTATAAAAGGATACAAAATCCGGTATGATCCTGTGAAAACTGCTGCCCTGGTAACCAAAACCTTTTTCATGTGTACACAGAGCTTTAAAGTTTTCTGCAGTTTTTGGTACTATGTCTGCTCGGAGCATCATTATGATTCGTCCAATCTCCTGCTTTCCGACACTAATATCGAAGTATACTTGAGGGTTGCGCTTTTCTATGGGTCTAGCTGGCTCCTGAAATATTTTATTGTTATATGTGAGAGAAATTCATATGAGCTTAGTGATATGTGGGGAAATTTACCTACAAAATAGTAAATTTTAATAGCGAATACTACACAGATACAAGATTCCTCATATGGTTAACCTTTATAAGATTCTTGTGTACATATGTGTCCTATTATTACATTAATTTCCTATAGTGTATAAGCTATATATAATTCATAACTCACACTTGAAGCCTCAGTCTTTTCCTTGCTCGCATTATTTGAATCTTCCTTATCAACATTTAATGTTCCACCAGCATGTTTCTGAAGCCAGCTGTCTTCAGACCACACAGGACGAGTCGATCCTTCTTTGATGCGTTGTGGTGCTGCTATGTTCACTCTGATTGTACGACCAAAGAGTTCGGAATCGTTCTGAAAATTTTATATCGTAAATATGTTAATTTTATTAACAGTGTAATCATTGAAATTTTATTTTAATAATCTGTTACAAAAGAAATGATTTTTGGTATTGAATCCGTACTTTATTAGAAGTTCACTTGATAAAGCTGACATTGTGTGAAAAGAGTAGCGACTTTCTTCCGCATATAGAGTGCATGATGATATTCGGTAGAAACATATATTATAATAATAAAACTTTAGTCAATTCAATGTTTTTAATGACTTACCATGTTGTCGATAGCAGCAGCTGCATCCTCTGCGTTCTCAAACTCAATAAACGCAAACCCTCTATGTTTTTCTGACTCATAATCCAAAGGAATTTGGACATCCACAAGATCTCCGAACGGTATGAAAGCAGCATTTAAAACTTTTTCATCGACTTCTTCGGCTAAACCACCAACATATATAGTTCGCTTCGAATTAGGTTTGCTGGCCATTATCAATTTCTAAATCATTAAATAACTATTGAAGTATAAGCAATATTCATATATAACCTTTCGCGGGTTTTACCTTTATGTTTATCAAGCAGTTCTGTTCGTTGTCATGTCTTATGTCAATGTCAACTGTCAAGTACACAAATTTCGTTATAAAATTACAAAATATAATAATTTTAAAAACACTAAAAAAATAAAAGCACCTTTTATAAAAAACATTATAATATTTGTACAATACAAATATCAATTTATTAATATATGTAATTAACAAATATCATATGTGGTTGTTAAATTGTCTGTTTAGTTTTTTTGTTGTATTGGAATTCTTGTGTTTAATTAATCGGATAAAAACTATAGCTAAAAAATTTAGAAGACTCAAAAAAGTTTTGTGTTTAAAAAATAACTCCATTAAGTTATTCCGCAAAATGGTTTTTATTTGTATTTCTTTATTATAACTTTGGCATTTTAAAGCAAGGTGTCGTGATCTAAGATAATTTTAACAATCCCTTATTATTGAAATAAAAATAATATTTTCGGATTACTATGCATTTTTTATTGTGCATAGTTTCTTCAACTGTGGTCAAGGGAAGACGATATGCCTTAAGTCATAATAATCCGAATGCGAATCGAACCAGTAATCGAAGAATATTAGTTTGATTAAAATTAATACTTGTAAAAGTATTAGATCTTATATCTTTTCAGATTTATTAATAATTAATTCTTCTTTAGTAAACCTAAATTATACCGAAAAACGGTATTAATCAAAATCTTCAATGGCTAAAGTCATGTTAATTATAAGAAATTATTGTTTCTCCTACTATAGTATTTATCTATTTTGTTAAATAATCATAGAAAAAAACAATCGTATTCGAAGGACATTTTCATTACCATTTCAATTCGTGCAATGGCATAAAATTTAAGAATTTATTTCTTTTCTTTTTCTTCTATTTATAGCCAATTTTTGTCTGCTAGCAATCATTGTCGTAAAATTACTTTTCATAAATGGAACGCATTATGAAATTATGTTTTAAAAATAGAATAATAGTAACGTTCAAATTGCATGCCATAAAGGTACCTATTAAAAATATTGCGTTTGAGCCCGGCTAGATGGCCGTAAAATGTGGAATGTTGAAAGCTTAAGGGTAAATTAAAATTAAATACCTTCTTTTTAAAACAGTTTTATTAGTAATAAACTCAAAAATGCGACATCGAGAATGTTTTTTAACTATTACCTAGCAGAAAAATCTTAATGTATTTAATTTTAGGCCACACGTAAAAAATCATATATAATTATACAATATTATTTATTCCACAAATAAAGATCAATTTTCTATAAAACAGTTTATTACTACGGATAAATATATGTATTAGTTTACTTTCGATTTACCTTATTCATTGCAACTTTTGTTTTGAAATAAGAACAATCTAGAAGAAAATTTTAATAGTTTTTAGTTACTTAGTTTTAAAAACCTGATAGTATATAAATTTACCTCATAAAGAATTGAAAAATCTTAAATATTACTTTACCTACTCTGTTTCGGCTCAATTCGGCGATTTGAAACGGTTCCTGTGAATATTGCTCTGAGATTAACAAATCCATTTTTTTTCGGTACAATGACATGAATTTTTACGACAACATTTGTTATATCATATCCAAACTACTACTTTATTCAACATTTTGAAGGTATAAATAATGATAAAATATATAAACGTAGTGTCAGGAGCCAGGGTAGTATATGCTTTAAATGTTTATCCTATTTTTTTAATTATTTAACGACATTGTCAGGATGACAGTTGACAGATGACAGATGAATCTAAACGATACAAATGTCATTTGTACGTTTTCCGGATTGTAATAAATTAACTTGTCACAAGTTCAAGTTTAATGCAGACGGGGCTCTGTGAAACTGGTAGTATTATCGAAACTGGATCTTGGATAACACGGTTGTACACATCTTATAAAGTGATCATTGACAAGTTTGCTACAAACGTGCTATGCATATATCAATTACATTAAAAAAATCTCCCTTTAAAGGACTACTGTTTTTTAATCATTTATTTTATTTATATAACTCACTTTATTACTTATAAATAAAGCTATACAGGATCTTTCTAGTTGTTTATATATTTTAAGTATTCATTGATATAAGTAAGAATCGTCAGTTACGTAATTTATTATCTGTAATATTCAACTTAGATACCTATACGAAACTATTTTACACATCTTGCGATGGTTTACCACAAGCATACGACTGTCCACACCAAATCTAAGGCTGTTTTATAACAACATAAACAAGATTCAACTCGAACGTTAGGAAAGGGTACGGAGTCGCGATTAACAGCTAGTTGACTAAAATAGAAACATTTCTTTATTGCTTCTCAACTCTCTGACCAATGACAGCCGATGGATAATTAGCACCAGATCCTGTGGTATCATGAATTGACAAGACTGATAAACCTAGTACAGGCTGCGATACGACGGGTTTCAACGGAAGCGGCCCAACTAAATTACAACTTCGATTAATTACTTACAAGTAACAAGCATCTGTCATCTGTCACTATTATAAGTGACAGTTTTGTAATTTCGATGCATTACAATGAAACAGAATATATATTGTTATACATTATTTTAATATCACTTTATAAACATTCATGTTAATCTGTATTATATAGTTATTTAAAATTAAATTTACAACTGATTGAAATATCTAGAAATAATTTTCGTTTATTCTTCTGTGATGGACATGATTTTGATTTAATATATATGCAGCACTTTCATTTAGTTTTTGAAAAGGAAATTACAATCTTGTCGTGAAAATGATCACTGAAATTTCCTCGAGTATTAAATCTCAAAATTTATTGAAAATTATAATGATATTTTTATTTTTAGATCGTTATTCCTATTCAAATAAGCACGCATTAATTTTTTTTTTAAAGATGTCTACACAATAGTGATAATAATTTTATATAACTATTTAAAGTCTCAGTTTGATTAATAAATATATTTTTTGAAAAACATCACGTCATACCGGGCTCATTTGTACTTATTTGTTAGAATTATATTTATTTTTGATATCCCTACATAGACATTCGTATTATCATTTAAATTAAATGCTTTCATTTCTTTAGAGCTTAATTATTATTAATAAAATACAAATACTTTAGTTCAAGTCTCAAGCTTAAATATCACACTAGTTCCACATAAAGTACCTAACAATTCATCACTCTATGTAGTGACATTTCGTTTCATATATATTAACCGATTGATAACTCTTACTCAATTGACTGATTTTCAGCTATTTAAAGTTTGAACTGTTGTTTATTCAGTTGTATATCGATAGTTTTTAGTTGTAAGGTTAGAAACCTGCGTGGTTTTTGCGTCCGGCTAGCGGTTTGACGAGGAAACACAGCTAGCATTCCTGCTATGTGGACATGTGTGATGTCCGTTATAGTAAATTGTTTAGATACGACAGTTTACGACAATGACGTTAAATAAATACACAGATAACATAATCCTGAGACACAGATTATACTTTATCATATAAATTTTGACATAAATTGGCTATAGACAATTATAAATCTATAGACTATTATTTGTCTATTGAATGTTATTTATATATATAATCTTCATTTGACTTCAATCGTTTTATTTATCTATGATAAAGATTTCCTAGTACAGTATTAACTTTTATTATATACCACCTCTTTGCTAAAAAAAAAGTAAATGGTGATGCTGGCTAGTAATAAAAGAAAAAAACAGTTTAGCCAGATAATTATAGTCTCTAATGTCTATGAGATCGTATAACGATGCCGGGTCAAATGATGATGGCCGTGAACAATTCGTTAGCCACATATCAAACTGATACAGTGTACCGTTGTTTGTTTTATTGATAACGTATGCATTATATATTTTAAACGGCCATAAAGATACGAATTTTGAAATAAAATAACAACTTAAACTATTACTTTATTATATACTTACCTACCATTATTTTTGTTATGGAAATTAAATCAAATAAAAATAATTTTAATGGCGGGAATTTTAAAATGCGTACGTCGCTATATATTAAGAATGTGACTTCCTCTATATATCATAGGATCTTTTAATTATTATGTTTTATTGAGGAAACATAAAAAAAAACTTTCTCGTTTATCAAATTAGGAGTATAATATATTGCAAAGTTTAAACAGACACAATATATAATACCAAAGAGAAAGTGGATTTAAACTACTTTTTTGATTTTTCTAAGAATCAACTACCTACCAATTTTTTTAAATGTTATACTATTAAACGATGATTAAATCCTTTTGACATATACTTTACCTATATAATTACATATTATACAGATCAGGTAAAAGACGAAATACATATTTATCTTATTAAGCAATTACTGATAGCAAGCAGTTAAGATATAATTAAATTTATTTGTATACATTTCTATAAGTACCTATAGCCTCAACATTTTATAGCAATATATTATTATATTTGAATATATTTGGGTATTTAATTACAGCTGCTACCACCAAATATCTAACAATCAGACTTCAATACTAATGGGAATAAATGGAAAAAAAATCACTGAATATTAGTTGAAAAATTCAAATCAACATTATATACAGCATATTTACTCCAAGTTCGCAACGAGTGACGAATACGCGACATTTTCAGTTTTTCATTCATAAACTTACGTACAACTTTAAAGTATTGAATGAGAAACAAGACACTTCGTATGCAGTGACCATACAAACCTGTGTTAAGCATATTCATTATTTGCTGTAAAAACATCTAAGTAGAATACTTAATAGTAAGTAGCTAGTATCGCTTATAACATTACTTAGCTTATTCAAGATGGCATCCGACATATTTCACAATATCAATTTAGTTCGTTCTCAATCAGATCCATCAATCATGAATCATTTGTAATGTAATTAACAACAAAAACTACTTACTTATATGTTATAAGCATCAGTATCATAGGTACGGGTGGATGAAGTTTTTTTCA